TAACGCCTTGGTATTTTGAGTTTAGGATAGCGTTGTCAAGGAAAAGGAGAGGGCGGGAGCCTTGTTTAAACCCAGATATCGAAGCATAGAACGATATGAAAAGACGATGGAAGCTTGAATCTTCTTTTGTCATGAAAGTGGCAATACTTCCAGGATTTGTCTCCCTGATCTTCTCACAGATTAAGGGAAGTTGACTATACGCCTCTTTATAAGAGCCTTGGAGCTGCTCTCTGGCAATTTCTTTCGCCCTCCATGCCTGTGAGTAATTCAATTGAATACCATACTCTTTCTTTATGTCCTCAGCAATATCTTTGGGCTTGTAGTCTGGGAAAGCTTTCAACTTCTCTTTCAAGATGGTTCTTACCCATCCTCTAGTTGCACGGTAACCAGGTTTGATGACTGCTCTCTCACACGTGTGCCTCTGGTTCATTTTCTTGATACATATTAACTGAGTCGTTGATAGCCTCGCTGCAGTGATACGCCACGGACAGCCTTGAGCTTTGCATTTGACTGAAACTCGATGGCTGTCGTTTTTCTTGTATTTGTAAGCAAACCCATGGGCGACCGAAAACTTGTGCAAAGCATCTCGGAATTCAATAAAGCTATTAAACCGTTGATCAACACCCGTGATGACGTTTTCCCACTGCTGTATTGCTGCGTTATGTTTCTGATCAACCAAAACAAAATTGCAGGGCAAAGGGCTTTCGTCAGGCATTGCCATTTCAATTTGAAAATCATTTATCATATCCTCAACAACGTCTCCTTCAGCAGCAATTACAGGTACCACCCCTTCTGATGCCGTTGTCTTACTTGACCTGTAAATGCAATTCACACATTAGTCACTTTCTTCGTTACCTAGTTCACACATGACATCAATTGTAATGAGTTAGAAACTGATATTGCACTCATTAGCTGCATACAACTTGAACATAACCGTACAATTCTCAGGCTCGGTGTTATCCAATAGAACAAGCGAATAACGAACAAAGCAAAAGAAACATCTACCTACTGGCTGGCATGTTAGAGACATTTTTGGCACAGGCTTCTTCGGGAATGACGAAGATCTCAACATTCCCTGCATCTGAAGAAAAGTTAACCATGCGTTGGAAATCCTTGTCCTTAGAGATGGTAATAAGGGTCTTCTTGTTTCCAGGGAGAAAGTACTTAAGACTCATTGTCTCCAAACCAAACCCGAAATTCTCAGCCAATTCTGACTTGAAATCACTCATTGAAGTATTCTGATCAATGTCAATTGCAAAAGCATCGCCACCAGAATACGATAAAGATCCATCTTTGATAGTCACAAACTCTCCTCCTGACTGACATATAGCTATCACTTTGTTCGTAGCCATGACCAAATAACCTACGACAAATTGCATAAAAACACAATTTTTTTTGTTCAAATTCAGCGACATGCCACAAGAACGAGATCGAAACATCTCAAAATTACAAACCAAAATTTCCGACAAAAACGAATCTTGACACTGAACAATAGATCACAATTAATACAGAACAAGCCCGGAAATTGGACATTAGAAAAGAAGATAAGGAGGAGAAGAAAAAAAAAACCTCTACTAACGAATTAAACCAGCTTAAATCGTAGAATTCGAAATAAGACATTAGTGTACCTTTGATTTCGCCAGTACGAAACAGATCAAGAATTGAGTTCTCGTTTCAGAAAGAAAAAAATTGAAATTGCCGAACTTTTTTTTGTTCTTAATTTCTTCTGCAGACCCAGAAAGAGAGAGACGGTGAGAGTTTGAAACGTTCACGTACGGACGGACCTAAGAGAAAAAGGGAGGCGTCTAAAACGCAGCGTTTTCGACGTCAGAAGTCAGAACTTAAGGAAAATAAGATTAGCGTTTCTATAAACGGGAAACGCTAAACGCTAAACTAATCAAACCGGTCCAAACACTTTGGTTCACTTCTTCGGTCCGGTTTTCTAATATCTGACCCGATTTTCCTCTTATTCGTCGATACGCACCGTTTTGCAGGCCAATCTCCAGATTACACAC